GAAGTGCCTGGGAAGTCCTATGTACTACCTCGGCCTGCCTCCTGACTACTGGAGGCCAGTCAGGCCGAGGAGGCAGCTCTTGCCAATGCCGAAGTGTGCCAGGGGCTGGCGTGCAGCARCCTGCTTGAGGCTGGCGTGGGAAACAGACTATTAATAGTCTGTTCCCGAAACCCTGGTTCGGTGCCTTAGTTTCAGGGCCGGTCGTTCTGATGAACGACCGAAAACGGCCCTTCGTTTCAGGCTAAAAATGCTGTTGCCATTTTCAGTCTGAAACGACACAGGGACAGGCCCTGGAATTCAGGCTTTCGGCCTGAAATTCAGGCTTTCGGACTGAAGTTCAGGCTTTTAGCCTGAACGGACACAGGCCTGCAAAATGGCCTGCGTGTGCACGAGCAGCATGTAACACCCCCCCCTCCTTATGAAGTCAAGCCGGGGCGAGGGCGAAGCCGTCGATCTGAAAGTGAAACCTGGACGCGGGCGTGGCGGGGAGCCGAAGAAACCGGCTTGCCTTGCATCTTGCGTTCGTAGCGTGCGAGAACGTCTGGAGCTGTTGCTTGAAGTTCCGCACGGGTTAACCAACGGTCAGCTCGGTGTGTGCAGTATTCAAAATGCACTAAATACTCAGTTGGCTTGTTGCCAGAGCGTCGCTGGGAGATGATGTCGCCGACCTCCTGAAAACCATCCATAGAAGGTGGGTCTTGCGTACGTCTCCCGGAAAAATCGTCATGATCCGCTGGCGTGTAGAGAGCCAGTTTGGAGCAGTGAAAGACTAGGTAGACAGGCAAGTGGCTAGGCACCTGAATCGTGAAGGAGGGTCCTTCGGGTGCGTCCCCAGCGGGCTCTATGATCGGCCAACGCCCCATCCATTTCGGAAGGAGCTTGCGAGAGACGTCTTGTTCAAGGCCGAATTCCGCGGCGGAAACCCATACGAGGTCCCCGGCGCGGAATGGACAAGGAAGACGCTGGCGATTGGCCTGCTGGCTCATGCGCTGTTGCGTCTTAGCCATCTGGTCGTGTGCCTTGACAAGAAGCTCTTGCATCCGACGCAAGAAAAGAAGATGGTCGTCGCTCTCGGCCGTGCGTGGAGTAATAGTGTCCAACGGTGATGTGACCGGCGAGCCATGCTCGAACTCGAAGGGCGATATCCCAATAGCCGGGTGGATGGAAGAGTTGTAGGCCAACTCRACRTCCGACAGTCGCTCAACCCAGTCTTTCTGGTCGGGGCGGATGAGAGTGCGAAGGAGAACCTGTGCGGTCTGATGCGCCCTCTCCGTCTGGCCATCGGTCTGAGGGTGGCGAGCTGAACTGGGCTTGAGAGATGAGCCCCATCGCTTGATGAGCGCCAACCAAAAATCGGACATGAACCGAGCGTCGCGGTCGCAGACGATCTCCTTGGGGTAACCCTTGGTGCAAATCCAACCGGCGTAAAGAACCTCGGCTAACTCCGGTGCCTTGGCATGATAGCGACAAGGCAAAAACATGGCGAACTTGGTGAGTCGGTCGACCATCATGAGAATCCCATCCACTCCGGTCTTGTGCTTGGGGAACGGGCCGGTGATGTCCATGGCAATCGCTTCCCTTCGCCACAACAGGACTGGCAATGGTCGTAGCTCGCCGTACGAACGATGGTTGCGGGATTTGCAGCGTCGACAAACCTCGCATGACTCGCAATAGCGCGTGACGTCGCCGAGAAGGCCTGGCCACCAAAATCGCTGGCGAAGTCGGCCAATCGTGCGATTGACTCCAAAATGTCCAGTGGCGGGAGCGTCATGGAACTCGCCAAGAAACCGTGTACGTAAGTGAGGATCACTCGGTACGCAAAGAAGGTCCTTCCCCCGCGTGTGGACAAGCAAGTACCCGTCTTGTATCCGGTAGTGAGAAGGAGCCGGATTAGGAGAGGAGCAGTTCCCGTACTTGTCGCGAAACTCGGGGTCGGTTTGGTAGCCGCGGACGAAGCTGTTCCGCAGGTCGTCGTCAATCTCGAAGGTCAAGTAGACTGCGGTACAATGATCCGGACACCGTGAGAGAGCATCCGCAAAACGGTTCGACTTCCCGGGAATGTGATCGGGAAAGAAGTCGAACTGGTCGATGAAAGCCATCCATCGAGCGATGGTGCTGTTGACGGTGTCTTGGGTCTTGTTAAAGACCAACGGATTGTTGTCCGTTACCCATCGAAATTGGCTTCGACCAAGGAGGAAGTGCCGCCACCGCTTGAGCGCGTGGACGAAGGCGAGGAGCTCCTTCTTGCGTGCATCGTCAATGGAATGCACGAGGGGCACTTTCTTGCTGAAGTACTCGACCGGGACCCAGTACACACCATCATGTTGCTCGAGGACTGCACCAATCCCATAGCTTGACACATCCGTAGTGACGCGCGTAGGCGCGAGCGGGTCATATATCCGCAAGACCTCCGCAGACAATAGCGCGGCTTTGAGAGCCAAGAATGATCCTCGCGCCTTCTCTCCGAAGTCAAACGGCCGATCCTCGCACTGAAGCTTGTTCAAGTGGGCCGCAATCTTTGAGTAACCTTTGATAAAGCGCTGATTGTAGCCGGTAAGACCGAGGAACGAGCGGACATCCGTGACGTTCTGAGGCTCCGACCACTCTTGGACGGCCTGAATCTTGTCCGATAGCGGACTGATGCCCTCCGGTGTAAAAAAATGGCCAAAGTATTCCAGCTCTTGCCGGACAAATTCACACTTGTCGCGGTTGGCCTTGTACTTCGCGCGGCGGAGCGTCTCCAACACTTGTCTAAGATGCCCCAGATGATCCTCAAATGACCGGCTATAGACGAGAATATCGTCAAAGTAGACCAGCACGAACCGGTCCAACATTGCACGGAACTCATTGGTCATCGCCCCCTGAAAGGTCGCCGGGGCGTTGGTGAGGCCAAAAGGCATGACCACCCACTCAAAATGCCCGTACCGCGTCTTGGACGCAGTCTTGAAGCGATCGTTCGGCTGGATCGAGATTTGATGATATCCCGATTTCAAATCCAACTTGGAAAAATACTTCGCACCGCCCAACAGCTCGAGAAGATCGTCGATGCGAGGAAGAGGCCCTGCATTTTTGACGGTTTGCGCGTTGAGCTTATGGTAGTCGATACACAATTGTAGCTCCTTGTTCTTCTTCCTGACGAAGAGAACTGGTGCTCCATATGGGGAGCTACTCGGGCAGATCCAGCCCTTGGCCAACAAATCATCGAGTTGTGCGCGGAGGACCTCAAGCTCCTCCTTGCTCATCCGATAGATGCAACCTTTCGGCGGCACGGCACCGGCCTCAAGAATGATCTCGTGAGAGATCGGCCGACCCGGCACCACACCGGTAGGTGACTCGAAGATGTCGGCGAACTCGTCTAGCAATCGTACCACACGGGGGTCCGAAGACAAGTCCGTGGGTGAAGAGTCGGCTACCTCGACGGTCCGTAGGAAACATAGGCCGATCTCCTCGGGCTGCTAGTAAGCACAAGTCTCCCGGAATGATTTGGCCGTCACTACCTGGCACCGGATCGAAGAGTGCGGTAGAGGAATAGTACACGCCACTTCCGCGCCGAAGGCGTCGCGAACGCTAAGAGTCCGCCGATGGAAGTTGACCGTGTGATCCGCACTTGCAAGCCAAGGCATTCCCAGAATGATGTCGAAGTCCATGTCGAGAATATCGAATGTCACCGGTTCGCATGCTTGAGGTGCGAAGTAGATCGGTACAGCCTCGATGTAACGGTCGAGAAGTTGTTGCGTCTTACCATCCGCCAACTTGATCGTTGACGGGTTTGCCTTCCTCCGAACTTGTGCGCCAATGCCAGCCCTTTGCATAAAAGACTGGCTCATGAAGTTGCGAGACGCGCCGCTTTCCAGCAAAGCGCTGCAGGACGCTTGCCCAACCTGAATGCGGACATACATGAGCGGTGCGTTGTTGTCATCGTACCGCTGCGTGCGAAACTCGCGGGCCACCTTGGTAGTATACGCCAGGATGTCCCCCACCGCGACTTCGTCATCCGAAGTTGGTGGTGCATAGAAGGATAGGTAAGTGTGAAGATTAGCACTAAGTGCTGCGCATTGCGGTCCCGGCAAGCGGCCTGTTGTCGGGAGAGGAAGCCATGCAAAGTCCTCAGACGTGAGCGGGTCCAATGCCTCTAAGTTGAACTCGTGTGCCGAATCCTGTGTAGAACCACTTGAAGACGATATGTCGCCATTGCCGGACGGAGAAGAAACCGCACACACTCCTTGTCCTTGAGCTTGAGTACCCAGCGTAGGAACGAGTCGGGCAACATAGTCCTCAAAAGAAAGTAGAAGAGGAGGACTATCGACTTCCGCGTGCGCCTCGGAATGACGGCCGGTTACTCGCGAAGAAACCGGTTCCGAAGGCATCGAGAGTGTCGTCGAGTCACTCTCGGCGGTGCTTAGTCTCCCTGTCTGCCCTTGCCTTTCAATGGGCAACCCTGCGTCTGATGAAGATCGCTGCTGCACCAAAGGCAATAGTGGAATCTCTCGCGCGCCTTGAATGCGGACTCGGAGATGCCATACTGGGTCCATGGGCCTGTCGAAGCTGCTGCACTGGGCCCGGGGCTAGATGCGGTGTGTGTCTTCGTTTTGTCGCGTCCTCGGCCTCTGCCGGGGCGGCCACCTTCCCGAGCGGCTGCGAATCTGTCTCCTTCACTGGCAGACACAACCTCGCTGGTTTAGTCTAACGGCGTTGCCGCTGCGACCACGACCACTCTTGCCCGATGTTGGTCCCTGTTCGGGCCTGACACAGATGAACGGAAGTTCTTGGCCTCCTTGTTCGTGATAATGAGTTGCGCAGCCTTGTCGAACAACTCCGCCATCGTCGTCAAGGTGTCCTCGACATGAGTAAGGGCATTGCTTAATGCCGGACATGACCTTGAGATGAAGTAATGGCGGATGGCCTTGAAGCCCATCTGGATGTCTGGGACTGACGTCAAGCGTTGGTACTCGGCGATCCAGTCCGTACTCGGCAGCGTGCCTTGCTCGAAGACCATGAGTTTGTCCATGGCTTTGATCTCTGGCGGCTCCACCTGGAACCGCTTGTGCCACGCTGCCTTCAAATCATCCCAACTGATCTTGGTGTGCAAGTCGGCCGCTACCACTCCGTACTTGGACAGGAGGTTGTCCAACCAAGCCTGGCACGCGCCCCCTGAACGAGAGTACAAGTATGCGTGGTGCTTGTGTTCTTTGACGTTGGACAGCTGCAGCGTGAGCTCGAACTTGCGGAACCATGGAATCGGATCTGTCTTCATGGAGTCGCAGAAGATCTCCTGCCCGTCAAACTTTGGAGTTGTCTCGCGCGGCTCCGTACTCGAGGTAGTGGCGGTGGGTACAGACCCGCTGCTGCAACTGTTGCGTCGCGGTGAGCTGTAACTGTGCGCCATCCTGGAGTGAGCTGACGTGCATCTCCAATGCATTGAGGCGGTCGGCAGTATTGGAAGAGCCTGCGTCGGCGGCGGTGACTGGTTGCTGCTCCAACTGCTGAAAACGGTCTTGGAGGTGAGCTAGCGTACTGTCGAGACCAAGGATCTCTGCCTGCTGTGTAATGCAGGTTGCCAGGAGATCCATGAGATGCGAGAGGAGGAGCGCTATCTTGTTTGCGCTATCCTCCAACTGGCTATTCTCGGCCTCGGTTCGCCATTCTGCTGCCATGGTAAGTAACGCCTGCTCTCCGGTAAATATGTTGTCACGACACTGGTTCCTTTCTTCATTGGCAGCCCTTGCTGCTGCCTCGTCATGCTGGCGCTGTTGTTCAAGTGCCAGCAGACGTGCCTGCTCGGCATCCTCTGCCTTCTTTGCTGTTGCTGCAGCGTCATCTGCCCGTTTCTTAGTCTCGGTACTCCAGTCCAGCATGCGGGCCTGATAGGCCTCGTCTGCTTCCCCGGGCCTCTGGTCCATGACTGTTGTTTGAGATCGCAACAGCATAGACCGGAGCGGGGGCCTGTTGATGTGGTATCCCTTGCTGCTGACGTGGCACAGCTGACGTGTCCTGCTGACGTGGCCTGCTGACGTACTGACATAGTCTGCTGACGTGGCCTGCTGACGTGGTCTGCTGACGTGGCCTGCTGACATGGCAACTCACCAATGCTGCCGCAGGGGGTACCCGGATACCAACAGAAACGGAAAGGCGAGGGATGGCAACAACATAGGTGGGGAGGGGTGGGTGGGATAATCGCCTAACTCACACTTAGATAAGGAGCCACTAATCAAAACAGAAAAGTTCGAACTTTGCAAAAAAAATAAAAAATCCCGATTTTTGCAAGTTCGATAGGTCTCCCAATTTCCTCTAAAGTACGAAATGATCAAAAAAATCGAAATTTTTTTTTTTGACTTTAGACTGCCAATGATTTATAGAACTGAACGACAGAATCCTACAACTGCGAAAAAAAATTCCGAACAGAAATGATACGTATTCGGATTTATTCCGATTCGCAGTTTAAAAAAATAATAACGCAGGAGGTATTTCCCGTACCGTTTTCAGAAAAACGAATTTCAGAGAAGAAAATATTCCGAATTTCTAAGTAACGGGAAATGCAACAGGAAATCGAAACTTTTGARAAGAAAAATATTCYGGATTTTCAACAGCGAAATTTCGAATTTTCAGAAAGMAAACGAAAATGGGAATTTCAGATGTTGCGATATTGCGATTTTCCACTACAGAACAGCGAGAAAATAAAATCCGAGAAAAGAAAAAAAAATCGATTTTTTCGGTAGCAAGGTCAAGATCGTGATTTTGGGGTCTAACTAGTATGCTCTAATCAAGCAATAAAGACTAACTAGCTTTTTGATCCCCGCACACGTGTCAAATCAGATCGTCCTGATTCACGTGCAAAAGCTCCGATACCAACTGTTACATGCACAGATATGCCATGTACGTAATAACCGAGGAACTGCAATGTGATGAAAAGGACTGAAT